CCTCATGAAACTGAAAAGCTTCTGTAAAACAAAGGACACTGTTCTCAAAACAAAAGGACTGCCTACAGATTGGGGAAGGATCTTCACCAACCCTATATCTGACAGAGGGCTAATATCCAGATTATATAAAGAACTCAAGAAGTTAAACAACGACAAATCAAGCAATCCAATTAAAAAAATGAGGTACATAGCTAAACAGAGACTTCTCAATAAAGGAACATCAAATGACAGAGAAACACTTAAAGAAATGCTCAACGTCCTTAGTCATCAGGGAAATGCAATTCAAAATGACCCTGAGATTTCACCTTATACCCATCAGAATGGCTAAGATCAAAAACTCAAGTGACAACATATACTGGAGAGGATGTGGAGACAGGGGAACCCTCCTCCACTGCTGGTGGGAATGTAAACTTGTACCAACACTTTGGGAGGCAATCTGGTGCTTTCTCAGACAATTAGGGATAGTATTTCCTCAAGATCCAGCTATACCACTGCTAGGCATATATCCAAAAGATGCTCAAGTATACAACAAGGGCATCTGCTCAACCATGTTTGTAGCAGCTTTATTTGTAAACCCAGAAGCTATTACAAACAGCCCAGATGCCCCTCAATTGAGGAATGGATACAGAAATTGTGGTACATCTACACAATGGAATATTTCTCAGTGATAAAAAACAAGGAAATCATGAAATTTGCAGGTAATTGTTGGGAACTGGAAAAGATCATCCTGAGTGAGGTATCCCAGAAGCAGAAAGACACAGGGTATATACTCACTCATAAGTAGATACTAGACATTTATATAGGATAAACATACTAAAATCTGTACACCTAAGGAAGCTAATCAAGAAGGAGGACTCTGGCTAAGATGTTCAATCCTCATTCAGAAAGGCAAACAGGATGGACATCAGAGGTAGAAAACAGGGAACAAGACAGGAGCCTACCACAGAGGGCCTCTGAAAGGCAATATCCTGAAGGGTATCGAGGCAGATGTTGAGACTTATAGCCAAACTTTGGGCAGAGCACAGGGAATCTTATGAAAGAAGGGGGAGATAGTAAGACCTGGAGAAGACAGGAGCTCCTCTGACAGTGACAGATTCTAAAAGTCTGGGCACAGGGGTATTTTCTGAAACTGATACTCCAGGCAAGGACCACTCATGGAGATGGCCAGGAATTCCTGCACAGAGGTAGCCCATGGCAGTTCAGTATCCAGGTGGTGGCCTCCATAGTAATGGGAAGAGGGACTGTCTCTGACATGACCTGATTGGCCTGCTCTTTGATCACCTCCCCCTGAGGGGGAAGCAACCTTACCAGGCCACAGAAGAAGACAATGTAGCCACTCTTGATGAGACCTGATAGACTAGGATCAGAGGGAAAGGGAGGAGGACCTCCCTTTTCAGGGGACTGGGAGAGGGAGGGGTGGGATTGGGAGGTACAGGAGGGATGAAAAATGAATAATCTGTAATTAATAAAAATAAAAATAATAAAAGAGATGTTGAGAATGTTTAATGATGTACAGTAATCTAAGTAGAAGGATTAATTTTTATACTTCATACCTAGTGACCCCAAACACAGTTTAGCCATTATTCTGCTTTCTTAGTAGGCTAGAGTTTCTACTTCTGTGGGAAGACACCATGACCATAAACAACCTGAAAATGGAGAGGGTTTATTTCTGTTTACTGCGCTCAGGTTATACTTCATTGATAATGAAAGTCAGGGCAGGAACCTGGGAGACAGGAGCTGATGCAGAGTCCATAGAGGGAGGGGTTCCTTTATTTCTTTTCATGGGTTGCTTTTCTCTTTCTTTCTTCCTTTCTTTCTTCCTTTCTTCCTTTCTTTCTTTCTTTCTCTTCAATTTTTTAAAAAATTTATTAATCACTTTACAGCTTGATCCCAGCTCTATCCCTCCTTTCCTCCCAGTCCCACCCTCACACCCCTTCCCCAGAGAAGGGGAGGCTCTCAGTGGGTACCAACCCACTCTGGTACCTTAAGTCACATTTGGACTAAGAGCATCCTCTCCCACTGGGACCTGACAAGGCAGCCCAGAATAGGATCCAGAGGCAGGCACCAAAGTCAGAGACAGCCTCTACTCCCAATTGCTAGGGGACCCACACAAGACCAAGCTGCATATCGCTACATATGTAGGGGGTCTAGGTCAGCCATGCATGTTCTTTGGTTGGTGGTTCAGTCTCTGTGAGCCCCTATGGGCCCAGGTTAGTTTACTCTGTAGGTCTTCTTATGGTGACACCCATCTGGCTCCCTCTATTCCTTCCTCCTACTCTTCCACAAAACTCCCGCAGCTCTGACTATTGTTTGGCTGTGTGTCTCTGCATCTGTTTCTGTCAGCTGCTGGGTGGAGCCTCTCAGAAGTTAGTTATGCTAGGCTTCTGTCTTCAAGCATAGCAGAGTTTCATTAGTACTGACGGGGGTTCCTCTCTCCCATGGGGTGGATCTCAAGTTGGGCCAGTCACTGGTCGGTCATTCCCTCAATCTCTGCTCCATTTTAATCTCTACACTTTTGTAGGATAGAAGGTTTGATGTGTGGGTTGGTGTCCCCCTCCCTTCACTGGAAGTTCCACCTGGATACAGGAAGTAGTGATCCCAAGCTCCTTAATCCCCACTGCTAAAGTCTCAGCAAGGGTCACCCTCATAGACCCCTGGAGTCTATATTGTCCCAGAGATGCCCCCCCCACACCGATTTCCATCCTCTCTCCTGGCCCAAGGGAGGATGCTTGAATCTCACTCAGAAGAGGAAATAAAATAAACATCTGAAGTAGGTGGAAAGAGAGAACAGGGTGAGAGAGGGCCTGGGAAGTGAAAGGGCTGGAGATTATCCTGCTTTCTTACAGAACCAGCAGCCTAAGGATAGAACCACCTACAGTGATCTGGCCTCTCATATCAATCATCAATCAAGCATGTACCACAAGCTTGTCCACAGGCCAATCTGGTGGGAAATGTTCTCAGCTGAGGTTCCCTCTTCCAAAATGATGCCAACTTGTGTCAAGTTGACATAAAAGGTAGCCAGCACAGTGGAAGAACTTAAAAGATTCTTGAGAGCATTCTAGTCTCATTGTTTTTATGCTCTTTGCTTTCAACATGGAATTCAGTAGGAATGTTCAGCATTTGTTGCCAATAGCATTGTACAACCCCAGACTCTGGAATTGAGCAGGTGTGGACTTGTGTGCCTGTTCTGTTACATATTATGGTATAAATTGGCAAAGCACTGTCCTGCAAGTAAGGATAAATGTAGTATGGACTAAGATGCTCTGTATGACAAACTGGAACCAGAATCTCTTAGCTTTCTAACAAAAGCTGGACTTGTACTTCAGTCTCTGTCTGTGAGGGGTCCAGTTGAGCAAGAATTCTATTAAGTGAAGATTCCCTGTTCTCCATATCTCATTAATTCCTCATCTCTCACCATCCCCTTATCCCTTATTTACTCTGAATAACTCCCCATCACTGATGCCTACTCCACTCTTTGGTGACAAACTCCCCTCTTCCCTTGTTGTGTTTCAAGTTGAGCCCAACATCTCTGTTCCCTACAGCCAAACCCCACCAATGTGCTTCCTGCACCCAGTGCAGTGCTCTTGAATACTCTGTCTTGTCTTTTGAAACGGGTCAATATGATTTTTTTTTTCTCAGACTGTATCTGCCTTAGATGGTTGTGGTGAAGATGAGAGCTGAAATGCAGGGAAAGCACTTAGGGAGAGTCTTCTGCGGGGATAGTGTGTGATGCTTTCCTGCTTTAGTCACGATCAGTGCTACTTTCATGATTCTGTTCTTGTTTCCTTGATACTCTGCCTTCCTTTTCCTTGTGATGCTTGTGGCCAATATTTTCCCCCAGGAATTGTCTTTTCTGGGTTTAAAAACTGTGCTCCTTAACTCTTCTTTATATAATGTTTGAAAGTATCTCATCTTCCTGGTGCTTCCCTCTCAGGGAGGCATTGTCAGTAGTTGATGCTGGGGCTCTTGTTCTCAGACAAACTCCTGTGCTTGAGTGCACACTGGGCACCTCCTAGCCAGAAGGAATTGTCACTTGCTGTCCAGCTAGAGATGGGACTGCCCACTTCCCAATGGAATGGCAGGTGTGGGGTAGGGAAAGAAGTAGACAGATAGAGGGAAGCAAGAGACTGTGAGAGCTAACTCTACCTATCCCCTAGTTTGTCAGATAAGAATGATGTCCACAGGGATCTCCCTCTGTCTGAGGCACTTCTGAGCCTGCCTTTTTTGTTGCTTGGCTAGCTCCTTTTCCTACCACAGGTGTATGGCTAGGTGCCACACACCACATGTACCCAAAGAATTCTAGTTACTTTTAATTTATGATCTTGTTTCCATAATCTATTTCCATAGCTATATTCTCAGCTCTGTATCATTCTGGGTTTAAACAATACCTTCTTAGGATCTTTAAGTAGCGAGAGGGTGAAGGGACCAAGCTTCTGGCCCAACGTCTACTGAGTTACTCCACTGCATGTGGCGGCTTGCCACACTGTATCATAATGTTTGAGATTATGCAGGAAGTTGGATTTAACCTTTTGTTTTGGAAGTTCAAGTCTACGGTTGAGTGCTGTCACTGCTGCAAGCCTCTGGTGAGGATGTTCGATGACAAAAGTGAGGGGCATGTGGTTGAGACAGAACCATGTCCAACACAAGCCAGGTAGCAGCAGAGTGAAGGGGAGTGAGCAGGGTTCCACAGTCTCCTTCCAGGGCATGTTCCATGACCCAAAGGCCTCCCCGACCTCCTTGGCCCCATGTCCTAATGGTTTTACCTCCTCTTTGCGCTTTGGGGTCTACACCTTTAACAGTTCCTCAGAGTTGAACAACCATCACCAGGACCCAAGTCTAGAGCAGACTTGCTTTGCAAAGATAACTTCTCCAATGTCAAATGTTTTTCTGATAAAGGAAACTAGGTATAAAGGTGGAACTCTTCACTGTTGGCTTATTATGAATGGGAACACTTCATATTGTGTATGAAATAAACTATAAACGTGCTTTTCTGTCTTTAATTTTTAATTTTATTGGTGACAGTGTAAATAGGTACATGAAAATCTCTGCCATCTCTACCAATGTATTTAAATAAAACAAGAATTCTAAGATTTGGATTTCAGTGATGACTAGAACACTATATCTTTACTGTATAAAAATCTCCCAGTCTATAAAATCTGCTCATTTCCCTGTGTCTTAAAAAAATAGCCGTGAGAATCAGAAGAGAGAGCTTATTGAAGACAAATACAGACTCCCAATGAAGACCAGCACAAGATGGGTTATAAATGAGTCAGCAATGCCGTGAGCACTGTTGTTCACCAGTGTGCTTTATGAGGATGGGAAGCTGAAGAACAGGCCAGCAGAGGGTTCACCTGACATGGTTTTCTGTGTGCGTGTGTATGACAGCCTCCTGCACTTCCATAGTTGGGACTATTGGACGCCATGGTTTGCCTTTGATACTTTGTTTAGTGTCGGTCCTGTCTTCCTCCTGGAATCTTTAGTTTGTCCCATATGGCTGTCTCTCAAGTTCTTATGTTTAGCCCTAAGAGTTCTCTGAGTTCCTTTAAGACCAGAGATGCATTCCAAACTTCTGAGGAGTTTGTATTTGTCCTGTATCAGGAGTCACAAAAGATGAAGCATTGGTGTAGAGAGAGCTGTTTGTCATCCCTCAAATCATATCATACAGATGGCTTTCTGCCCATAAAAATGTCTTACCAAAAAGACAACAGTAAAGACATCCCAGAGGCTTGCATCTAACCCTTAAAAAACTCTTTGAGGTGAGTGCAATGCTTCATAGCTACTAGCCACACAGACTGGGAACTAGATCTGAGTTCCTGATAGACAGAAACCAGCTACCAGGACAGATTTAACTGACAAGCAGGGGAAGATGAACAGCAATGATGATTGACTCTGGGCCTTTCATTTTCTTTCTGAGGAACTGTGGCAACTGAAGCCAAATGGCTCCTTTCCAGGTCAAGGCACTGCATAAAATTTACTGACTGTGAGTTTGGCTCATCCTTCAGATAAAGTGTCATTGTTGAAATTGAGACACAGATTTTCCCAACTGCTTTGTAAACGTTAGGATTTTGGTCAGCTTGTTGTATCACACTTAGTATTCAGAATATTAATTAAAAAATAACTAACACCAGTGTAAACATGCTTCAGATACATAGGTCTATAAAATATTGCACATAAAATTTTGTTCAGCATTTCTCCATAGCAATTTTTTCATTTTTATAAAAAGGATATAAAATTGTGCAGACCATCTTATGAATTTGGCTGGTCAATATTACTTCAAAATGATAACACTACAAATGATTATGGATTATTTACAAGAGCTTTAAGCAATGTTTTCTGGATATTTAAGTAAAAATAATGGTAAAACAGCTTAAATATAAAAGATTATTCTCCAAGATTACCTGCTAGGAAAGATTAACAGTGAAGAGTGAGTGATAAAGCCATAATAAGCATTATTAGGTCCTTAGGAGTGAGTTTTTCGTTTATCTCACACTTGTATAAGTTTGTATATTGGCAACAATTTTTCTTTTATATAAATGTGAGGTATTACAATGAAAACAAGTGTATAAATCTCAAGCTAAATACTGATGTTTACTATAGCTATTAAGATAATATTCACTCATCATTAAATTGTTTTTTAGATGGACTTTACAAATTGTGCTAGTACTTTTAAACATCATTAGGGTATTGAGTACCTTGAAATGTATGCTTTAAAGAAATCAGTGAAAATAGTTTTTTTTTTTTACATGTATAAAAGGAATTGTAAATAAAAGATTTCTGTAAAGTTGAATTATGCAGATGTGAGTTCCTGGAGAAATGAAGAAAAGTAACTCCAGGTAGAAGATAGCAAGATATTAAGCAAGACAGAGCCCTAATACCAATGTGTGTGTAACACATGAAGAAGCCCAATTAAACGTGTTATCTGCACAGACTAGTTATTTTAAGACGAAATAAGCTGAGTGATGTTGAAGTCTAGCTAACCAAATCTTAATTTCCAAATCCTCTAGATGGCCCATTTCTCTACCTTCGAGAAATAGAACATAAATAAATACATCGTGAGTCCTCCATGTATGAAATGATTTTGGTTGTTTCACAAGTACTTTCACAGTCCTGACAACATATTGCTTGTCTCCCTGAGCCATCACATCCTTAGAAAAGTTTCTCTTCCATGGGGAGGTTTCAGAGATTCCATCGGATTACAGTAGTGTTCAATCTTACTTCATCTTGTCTCTGTAGGAATTGTTTTTGCAGGTCGCATTGGGTTGATCTGGGCATCCGCCTGAGTTCCTACAGCCATTTCAAAATGCTGGCCAGATGTGAAACGGTGAAAGCAAAAGAATCTTCATGGCTGCTGAATGTTTTGACAGTTGTTGGTGGTTTCTTTTCCCCAAGGGTCTCTTCATGTCAATCAATGCATGAAGTAGATGAGGTGATCATTAGGCACCCTTCCATTTCCTGGGTCGCTGGCAGGTATGGAAGGCTACGATCATTTAGCCCTTGTGTCCTTTTCTTTCTTTCTGTCTTTGAACAGGACCAGTGCTTGGATTTTAGGTCTTTGTGTTTCTAAGTCATGCCTCTGGGGTCTTGTCACTGGTCAATTGTTCCCTGTCTGTCATTTCATCCTGGGGAGGTCTTGCTCTATCAAAGAATCCACACTAGGAGAAAGAAAAAAAAAGTAGGCTAAAAATCAAGTCGTCTGGGGAATTTGTAAAATACTTCATTTAGGGAATTTATGTTTTGTACATTTTTAAAGAAACCCAGGGATATGAGAATGCTATCTGTCCAATTCTCCAAATTAAGAGGGGAAACCAGAGTTCTAGTTACCTGTGGAGAGAGTTCATTGCTCAGGCAAGGTTGGCAGAAGGCAGAGAAGCCATGCCCTTCCTCCTGCCATACAACGCGAGAGTCTATAGACTCTTCTCACAGACCTTGGGCATTTTCTGTTATAGCTAGCATCTAAGGATCCATCTCCGCTTCCCTGCATGCTTTCCTCATGGTGCACGACTACAGGCTTGGCAAGGGTCACTTCCTGTGGTGTTCCCTAGGGCCCTGAAGACACAGCAGGCGAAGATGTGGCCGTCCTTACGTACTTGGTGGGACACACGGTGTTGAGAGGAAGATCCAATTGTCATTTATGTCAGTTTATGCCAATGACAGTACCAGGCAGGAGGGAACAAGCTGTGACTTCCCACAGGTTTACCAGTACTCTGGCAAAACTGGTTCTAGAATAGTCTTTCTATTGAATTTCAAATTAATCATTAACGCCAGAGGATGCATCTTTTCCTAAAACCCTAGAACTTGAATTATTATTTATTTATTTTTTTATGTGGGAAACACAACATGAGTTCTTTGTAAAAACTAGTTGGGTGTTCTGTCATTTAGCACATAGAATTCTACCCAGTTCCTCTAAATAGAAGACTAATGCTAAAGTTACCTCTACGCGTGAGCCATGGGCTATATGGGCTCAGGAAAGTAAAGGCAACCCATAATGATTTAAAAAGCGATTCTTTAACTCAAACAAGGCTTTCTAAGTTCACAGTAAAGCATACAGCTGCCTATTTATAAAGGTCTTGCTCTTGGAGAGCCACATAATAGAGGTTGACCAAGATGTGACTGGGCTAATTCTTCAAGTCACGTCACTATGACATTGCTTTTCATTTAGAGTGGAGGACTCTGTATGACTTGTGAGGTGGACAAGCCACTGGGCTATAAATCTGCTGCTCTTACGGACTTTTCGAACAAGTCTTAGTAGGGCACCCCTGACAATTTGTTAAGGTTTCCTATTAGAGGCAGACTAGTTGGCAAGATTGAAAACTAAGCCCACACACCTTATGCATGGCCTACTTGGCCTAACTGTTAAAAAAAATAGAATGGACCTATATTAGCTGCGTGAGTGTATTACTTCTAAAGAAAAATTCAAAAGACTGATGATAGGAGTATGCCAATAAAACACACAACTTCCTGGTTAATGGAAAAGAAAACGAAGCTTGATAAGACCATTACTCTAAGCACATTAAAAAGACCATTGGTCCCAAGGCAATTATTCACTGTATTTATTTATAAGAAATTTCAAGATAACGGCTGTGAATGTCACTCAGGAGATAAAGGCTTAAATAGCCTGTTCGTGGTCCTGGATTCAATTCTTAGCACTGAGATATAAATCAATCCCCCCCC